CCAAAACTTCTCATTGGTCGGTAAACACTTCGCATGCCAATAGGTCTTCCGTGTTCTGCAAACCATTCATTTGCAATGGACCTGGTAGTGGAGAAACGGTCCCTTAAGGCCAATAATCTTAGGCGGCGATCTTCACGGTCTGTTGTTCTACGGCGGCGTCCAGTGCTCCTTGCTCTTTGCGTACGGCCTTCTCGAAGCCATGCCTGACAACACCTAACCACAGTGTCTACACTTCTTTGCACTCTAACTGCAATTGCCCGAAAAGAAAGTCCAGCCTCCCGAAGTCCCACTATACGGCCCCTATCAAACTCACTAAGCTGACGAAATCGTACAGGTCTCCGTACTCTAGGCATCGTAACCGATCGTAAAGGATGTCAAGAACCAAAATCCGCCAACGTTGATTCTTTACTGCGGCTGAAATATTCATTTTTAGAGCGTTAGTGAATTAAAAAAAAGCAGTATAAAGACCGGAATGTCCAACTGATAAGGCTGAAAATTTTTTCACTTGTTATTTACAGTAAGATAAATACATTCACCAACTTTTATTAAAATAAAACCATTTAAACTGGGTAATCGGATTTATATGTCACTTAGTATATATTGACAGTAAATAAAAAAAAGATGCTAAGTATGTCAAGGTTACCAAAAATATTACAGCATCCAAATTAAGAGCTGTTGACTTGGGGTTTTTCGCTATTTACTCTTCCGTACACATTTATCACTCTACAAAAAATACTTATGCAACATCTTGAAAACAACATCTCGAACTTGTATAATAGATTTCTTGTCGGGAATTATGTATTCAAAAAGATCTTTAGTCACAATGGGCCCTCTACGTGTACACTACAATGATAAATGGTCAGAATAAAGTTGGTCTGCTTTTCTACGAAAACAGAGGTGTACAGGGTGTGCCGTTTTCGTTGATATTACGGGGTGAGTTACTCACCAAAAAGGATAGAGAGTTGCGGTTTCCACTGTGATACATTGGAAATACTGCATTTTGGGACTCCGTCGTATAACCACATAATCTTTTTCTAAAAAGGACGCTGTTAACGAATCTGCATGTACAATGTACAATCTTTCATTGGCAGTTTCTTAGTAAGGCTGTCGTTATTTAGCTTTGTAAAATTCGAGACACCTGGCGCATACGCGCTCATCTAAAATATTCTCAGCAAAATAGCTTGGTTTCATAAGCGCACGCCAGCATACGCCAAAAAACAAAGCTGGCAATCAAGAACAATACGGAAGGGCAGCGGAAGTAGAGCATTAAAAGCGTGCAGGCCTTTTCAGCCTTGGGATGCTGAAACCATTTTTTACGAGAGCTTCTTAAAATTGGAGTGCCTGTCTCTTAAGCGTTCCTGCCAAAAGATATTTAATTGGTCGTTATCATGCCGTTACGCCATTGAGAATCCTCCAATTTTTGTTGAAGCGGATGAGATGAGGGTCTATTCGCGATTGGAAGGATTACGATGCTGTTTGCATCTCAAGTTAAATAAGAGGTGGAATCAGCGGGATCTTTCCTTGGGGTGGGGGGGAGGCAGGGAAAATGGATTTGCTCGATTTTGTGGTTATGTGTGAGATATAATCGTACATAGAGGAAAATATTAAGGTCGTATAATAATGACATTGAACGTAACCTTGACTATGACCTTCTAGGTCATTTGAAGGTCAAGACAGTTTTCTGAAATAAAACCCCTATTTTTGACAACGCAAATGTAAAGAGCGAAAAAGTTTACGTTAGAGTGACTCCTTGTCATGACCTTGAATGTGACCTTCAGTGTCATTTTCAGTAATCCAAAGGATTTTAGAAGAACAAAATTTCCCGAGAAAAGTACATACGTCATCTATTAATGACCTTGAACGCGACCTTGACTATGACCTTCAAAGTCATTTGAAAGTCAAGACAGTTTTCTCAAATGAAACCCTTATTTTTGACAGCGCAAGTGTGAAGAGCGAGAAATTTGGCGTTTAACTGTCTCCTTGCCATAACCTGAATGTGACCTTCAAAATGTATGGAAAGAACAAAATATATCTTGAGAAACATGCTACTTAGAGAAAAGTGTGGCAGAGCAAGGCCGCAATGTTTAGAAAGGGTCATCTGACGGTGGCCTTGATCGTGACCTTGACCAGAATCTCGGTCTCGGTTTTACGATGATCGAGGATTAAGCCAGGCGTGAAATTACTGTCCTGGAAGCAAGGTTAGAAATTTCGTTTGATATCATGATAACCTTGACAGTAAAATGTTTCGCTTTTTTATATTCCCGACAAAATTCAAGGAGTTTACTTAACTGCCATGGATTATAGGTGAAAGGTACGAGAACTGGCATTCACATAAAGTTTTTTTGTATCATAATTTAAATACTTCCCTTGGGGATGGAGGATCCTGGGTGAAGAAGCAATTTTGAATCGATTACTAACTCAAGGTTATTTCCTTCTTCTAATGCTTTAATTGGAACGTTGTCAATTGTGACGCTGAGACGAGTTTATTACAACTTAAATATTGCGCAATATCATCAATAAATAAGGTAAACAATAAAGGACCAAGATTTCAACCCTGAAGCACTCCCGATTTAATAACTACTGGAAGGACTTGAAAGTAACAGATTGCTACCTTTTATGAAGATAACTTTGAATTAGTGCTAAAGCTGGTGAATCTAGTACAAGATTCTGGTAATAGATGGCGCATTGCGATGTCTTATTTCGAACAGAGGTGCCCTTAAAGTTACTTGGCAATATTCTGTAACACCATCTAGAAGGATGACAAGCTGGAAATGCTAACAATATTTAAATCTGTAAATTAAGTTAATCACTGTTGTCGGCGCGCTTTTAATTTCACTTGAGAGAACGTCATCGAGGGAACACATTTGACAAATTTCTCTCAAAGTTACAAATTGGGGATATAGCTGCACCTGTGTAACTGTGAGGTGGGAAACGCTAAATTGCTTTTAGAATCTTGTATAAATTAAGATGTTCATTCGTTGGAATTTATTAATCCAACTTTGGCGGATCTACCAGCTATGGAAAGCGAGAAAACATCTGGATTAAGATATGTAAACGGAATCGGTTTATAGGTCTCGCGAATCGTGGTCGATTCGTCATTCAACAGGATTTTGTACTGCGGTGACCAAAATGGCGTTAGGTAGGTTGACTCGGCACAAGTTGAACCCTCTGACAAAACATAGTTACAAAATGTGGCACAGAGAAATTGAACGGATCAAGTCGGTCAAACAGGCCCATATCCGTGGACATAGAAGTATCACGTATTTTTAGACTCAAGATGAGTTGACTGGACATGATTTACCTGTATGCAAAAATGGTTTGTTTGTCTGTTAGAAGGTGTAAAAGTTTTCTTTTCAATAAGACAAATTTTTTAAGGTACTTTTGGAACCGATGGTCTCATTTGAATGGAATTTGGAACGCATGTGTTTTGTTAGATGTCCTAAATTTTACAAAAAAACGCCCGAAATTTTTCGAGAAGGGTGAAAAATACCCCCACTAATACATAAGTTATAGCAGATTTTTGGCAATTCTCCCGACCCTGATTTTTTGTTTGTTTAAAAAGTCTTTTTATATAAAACAAGCCATCTTGGATAGTTTTCGAGAAAAAAAAAGTTTTTAGGAGCTGATCTATAAAAATTTCTGTGAGATGTTATGTCACTGTCAGATTATTTTTGACAACAAGCTTCAGGTAAAGGGTTGTCCAATATAGACGCAGGAAAGTAAACGTCAATTTGACATAGACGCCATCTTTGTTTTCTGTCACCGACATGTCATTTTGTTAGTTGAATATTTACCATTGATCGCTATGGAGTCGTATTCGATTGAAGACCGCATTAAAGTTATTCAAGAGCACTACAAAAATGGTGCAAAAATAAAAAACACGTTTCGCGCGCTTCGTGAACATTTCGGTCGCAACAACCGCCCAAACGAAACAACCATCGGTCGTCTGGTGCGTAAATTCGAGGCAACAGGTTCTGTGGCAAATCTGCCAGGCTCTGGCCGGCCAAGGAGCGTTCGCACACCGGAAAATATTGCTGTTGTGAAGGAGAGTGTGAGAGACGATCCGAAACAATCAACAACGCGCCGAACGTTCTCAGATTAGCTCCTTGAACACCGCCAAATTGATGCCAATTTTTCATCAAAAATCATGTTCAGCGACGAAGCGCATTTCACTTTGAATGGGACGGTAAACAAGCAAAACTGCTGCATCTGGGCGAACGAAAATCCCCCTGGGTTTCAAGAGCAGCCGATGCATCCTCAAAAAGTGACTGTATCGTGTGCATGGTGGTCAAAAGGCATCATCGGACCTTACTTTTTCGAAAATGCGGCCGGGGACGCCGTTACCGTCAATTCTGAGCGATATCACGTGATGATAGAGGACTATTTTTTGCCGCAACTTGAAGGAATGGATATGGACGATGTTTATTTCCAACAAGACGGTGCAACATGCCACACAACCAACGTCAATATCCATCGATTGCAGTCCTTCTTCGGTGATCGCGTGATTTCGCGCAGAGGAAATGTGCCATGGCCACCAAGATCATGCGATTTGACTCCCTTGGACTTCTTTTTATGGGGATATTTGAAAAGCAAAGTCTACGTCAACAAACCAGCCACCCTCCAAGAGCTCAAAAACAACATCATTGCCGAGATACATGCCATAGAACCGACCATGTTGCAAAATGTCATTGAAAATTTCGACCATCGCGTGGACGTCTGTAAATCCAGTCGTGGTGAACATTTGAGCGATATTATTTTTCATACATAAATGGTATAAATGAACCTTCAAAATAAAGTACCCAACTTGATTTGAATATCAATTTTTCTTGTTTTAATATGCGTTTACTTTCCTGTGTCGGTTTTGGACAACCCCATATAATGAATGTTAGAAACCTCCTGTAAAATGTTATTAAAAATTCAAATCAAGCAGTTCTCCATGAGCTAATATCTCTTTGGACAAAGTCGTCGCTAGGCTCCAATTTGTATCACAGTTCCCTTACCTGATATCCGTCATAGGTCCACGAGGCCCATTTCATTTGACAGCTCTGAAGGTCAAACGGGAAGTACTCGACGTTGATGTCGCACGAGGATCTGTAAATTCCGTGACTGAGCCACACCACCTCGCCATTGCTTGAAACTATGACGTTCGTGTTGATCACCGATGATTGAAATTGGGGGTCGGCACTAAAACAAATAAAAGAATAGATTCAAGTAGAATGACTCTTCAAAAGGTGAAAAACGTGGATCTAGCACAATTTCCAAAAAGGGAAGCAGATGTGGTTGTAAAACTCCGCTGCTACCTCGAATGAACACTAATTGTGACCTGCTGCCGTAATTAATGGCAAGTCATACCACAACACCCACGGTTCGATGAATATACCGTTCGGTGGAATATTGGTCTTGGTCTGTCCCCACGTCTCTTGCACGGTCATCATACAGGGTGTCCCAGAAGTCGACGTCAAGCCGAAACCGGGTGATAGGCAAAGTCATAACAGCTATCAGAAAAATATTTAAAAAAATTTTATGTATGTGTTTTGATAATTATAGGTCTTTGAAAAAAATATAGAAATTTCACACCCTACGGCAGTCTGTCAACTCCTGTTACTACAAATATTAACTTTTTTTGGATTTTATTTTTACAATGTAATGATGAATAATGCATCTTCAAACTTGTGTCTCAACCTTACTGCCAACTTTTCTCGTTCAGGAAAAATTGCCACTTATTTCCCAACCAAGTATTCCAAAGTAAAACTTTGCTCAACTTTAACTGGCTGTACTGGAAAAAAATGTACTACGAGAGTTTGGCAAGTAACCTTAAAAGTTGGCGCATTTAATAAGGATTCCAAAATGGTATGACACTTAGAAGATTACTCGTTTACTTATGCACAATTTTTATTTGAAGAAAAACTGATGAACATTTTTCAAAATTTCCTAATTAAACAGCGATTATGAAAACGCACAAGGACCCTTAAGGATAACTGTTTGCACAACAGTGGGCGTCAAAATGCTGCTGATGATGATTTACCTTTACAGCAAATGCTCAAACTGTTTTCCTTCAGCCGCAATACACGCTCGACATCTTAAAAAAGATCGGGTTATTAAACGAGCGAATCCACGGTTATTAACAAACTCAACTGCTTCCAATAGTCTTTGCCGTAGCTCAGCTGTACGTGGTATGGATGGAGCACGTTTTTTTGCAAGATTCTATGGGTTGTACTTTTGGGCACACCTGTTTTTAGTTCTATTGCACGCACTGAAGTACTCGGGTCTTCTTCGACAGCTCCTAGCACCACGTCTTCGTAAGGAAGGAAAGATCTTCCCTCACCGTGTGATTGGTTTGGTAGTTGGCCCTCTGAGAACAGTAAGCGGTGCACATTTGTGAACACTCGATGATCTGGATGACGAGCTGCATTCGGGTACCTCTCACAGTAAAGTCTCGCTGCAGCACTGGCGTTGCATCTGCATAAATGAGGTGCATGTTAGCATATTCTTGTACGGTGTACACGGACATAGCGGCACTGCACAATCACACTATCAAAGATAGTCTAAGGAAAACAAATGTTGTTTTGAAGAGCAATTAAACAGTCCAAATCCAAATCACAAGCGATCAACAGTCCAGTTCACGAATCCAAAATTAGTAACAGTATGAAATCAACAAGCACGAACATGTAAAGATGCGCAGTAAACGAAGGAGTAGTGATCGGTATCAAAGTGTGCAATAGCAAGTAAGTGATGTGCTTCATCCATACCACATACAGCGTGTTCAACCTCTCCTGCCCCGGGATTATCCACAGTTCTTTGAAAAAATTTTATGGTCGGATGAGACCACATTTAAGAAAGATGGGTACATGAACCTGCATAACTTACACGAGTGGCACGTAGCAAACCCACATTTGATGAGAGAAGATAAATCTCAATATCGCTTCAAGATAAACCATTGGACAAGAATTTTAGATGGTAAAATAATCGGTCCGTTTGAGTTCCCAGAGACTTTGACTGCTGAAGTTTATTTGGATTTTTTGAAAAATCATGTACAAAATTTATTGGTGGACGTGCCACTGAGTATTTACAGGGACATGTGGTTTCAGCATGATGGCTGCCCAGCGCACTATGCACTCTCAGTGAGAGAGTATCTCGATCAAAACTTTCCAGGCACATGGATAAGGCGGTCTGGTACAATACCGTGGCCAGCCCGATCACCTGATTTGAATCCTTTAGATTTGTTTACTGGGGAACTGTAAAAGAAAAAGTGTATTTCAAGCCGATTCAAAATGTAGCTGAGCTACGGCAAAGACTATTGGAAGCAGCTGAGTTTGTTAATAACCGTGGATTGGCTCGTTTAATAACCCGATCTTTTTTAAGAAGATGTCGAGCGTGTATTGCGGCTGAAGGAAAACAGTTTGAGCATTTGCTGTAAAGGTAAATCATCATCAGCAGCATTTTGACGCCCACTGTTATCCTTAAGGGTCCTTGTGCGTTTTCATAATCGCTGTTTAATTAGGAAATTTTGAAAAATTTTTATCAGTTTTTTTTTCAAATAAAAATTGTGCATATGTTAACGAGTTAAAGTTGAGCAAAGTTTTACTTTGGAATACTTGGTTGGGAAATAAGTGGCAATTTTTCCTGAACGAGAAAAGTTGGCAGTAAAGTTCAGACACCAGTTTGAAGATGCATTATTCATCATTACATTGTAAAAATAAAATCCAAAAAAAGATAATATTTGTAGTAACAGGAGTTGACAGACTGCCGTAGGGTGTGAAATTTCTATATCTTTTTCAAAGACCTATAATTTTCAAAACACATAAAATTTTTTTAAGTATTTTTCTGATAGCTGTTATGACTTTGCCTATCACCCGGTTTCGGCTTGACGTCGACTTCTGGGAAACCCTGTATGTGCCCAAACAGAACCTGAGTTCCATTCCATATTCCATTCAGGTCTCTCCTCACTCCATACCAATCGTTGCCGTCCTAACTTTTTACTATGTTTTTCAACAGAAAATTGACACACACGAGAAGTAGCAGAACTCGACCTCGTATCCGATCTTCACCATTATGGTCTGGGGCAATATGTCATCAAAAGGAGTAGGAAAACTTCATTTTTTTGATGGAAATGTGGATACAAACAAATATTTGGCAATTTTAGAAGAATCGCTTTTACCGGTGATGGAAGAATGTTTGACATCCGGCCAAGACTTTGTGTTTCAGCAAGATGGTGCAGCGTGCCATACCTCAAAAAAGGCTATAAATGGATGGAAGAAAATAATGTACCACTTTTGAAATGGGTTTCTAGCAGTTCAGATCTGTCACCTATTGAAACTTTGTGGCAGGAGATGAAAAAGGTTCTACGACAACATCCTGCTCGTACAATCACCGAACTGAGGCAAAAGCTTCAAGAAATATGGGATCGTTTTACACCAAATTTTTGCAAAAACTTGGTTAACACTATGCCCCAAGCCGTAATAAAAAATAAAGGTGATGTTACCCAATGGTAATCTTTCAATTGTTGCTTTGTTAACTTCGCGCATTTATTTTTACGACTAGAATGTATCTAAAATGTTTTTGAGAAAATAAATTGTTTCAGAAGTAAATAGTTTCGTCATTTTTAGTTGATAAAGGCATATTTAGGTACAAATTTTGAAGGGAGCCAACTAAAGTGGGAAGGGGCTCGTTATGTTGTAAATTAAAGTATGAAAAATCAGATGACAGCTATTCCCATTAAAATACGTCATCTAAATGATTTCCACATAAGCATTTCTCATGTAGCCTCCACGACTACGTCGCTCCCAAATCCATCTTAGGGATAAACATTAAGGATCAATTTTCAACGTCTTTGCTCAGGATAATATGTAAGGGTGTTCCTCATGTAATCCAAACTTCTTATATCCTCTGATGGGTGCGCCAGATGGTTTGACATAACGCGTTTTAAATTGGCTTTCTAAAAAACATTTTTTGCATTAAACCGCACAGCTTCCGGACGCTCTATATTGTCAATCATTCTGACGAGGGTCGATTCGTATCGCGCACGTGTGTGATTTAGTTTGGAAATACAATTTTGGAATTTGCAATGTAAATAATTACCAAAGTATGTTACAGCATCGATTAGCATTAAATACACTGCCACGCAAATTTTATCGGACAAAAAAAATGGAATAACTTTTTAACATTTGCATCAATTTCGTTAATTTTTCCGTCAAGTTGTCATCATTATTGCAAAAAAATTAAGACGGTTTGTTGATATACAGGGTGTAACTAAAAGGTGCTAATGTACAAGAATAAGCGATCGAAGTCGCACATACCTCCTTCATCTCCTGCCCTCCAAATAAACCGAACTGCAACGTCGCATTAGCGCCTAAGGTGGTTCAATAAGCGCTTACGTAGTGGCGAAATGATATGGACTATAGAAGAGGAGCGTCACTCCATCGTTAAAACAGTTTTTGGCTAGGTATCTAACATTAAATTGTGGTATCCAAAATCCTACATGCAATTAAACTGTGGTGTCTGTGATATAGCAGGTAGTTAGGAGCAGGTAAACATCCAGGTAAGGAAGGTCAGCTGAAGGTAGTTGACCGCAGAACACTGTATTAATTTACGTGTCGCGAAACTAGCAAGGATTGGGTGTGCTAACATTTCGATGCTCCGCTAATGATGTAAAGGCGACAATTGTCATTTTCTTCATAACAGCATATTTCAATAATTGAGTTATTAAAACTGTTGAGAAAAGTTGAGGCTTAAAATTCTGATACGAAGACACATTATTCAGTAATCCAATGTAATCCACAAGGTGTTCAGAACTTAAGGGCAAAATGCACCGTTTAGTCACACCCCGTACAACAACAAACATTTTCGATAATGAAATTACCTACAACTTGACGAAAAAATTAACGAAATTGATGCAAAGGTTAAAAATTTATTTAAAATTTAGTTCGAACCAAATTTTCCGGTTAATTTTGCATGGCAGCGTATATTTAAAGTACTTTATCAGCCATACTAACGTGGAGGATTTGGTAGGAAGCAAGAAAACTCCGTGAAAAACGTGTAAGCATACGAAATATTTCAAACAAATTTTCATTTTACTTTCACGATCGCCCTTTGGCCTGTTTATGCTTTTATACATTCAATTCCTTCTGTGGACACTTGTTTACAGACTAAGCTTTCGTTAGCGTCATTTACACGAAAACGGGTGTAATGGTCGCTTCTGCGATCAAGTAGTGCGCGGTGTAAACCTCATTACAGTGTTACTATGCTATTGGTTGTAGTGTTTTGGTCACCTAAAAGGTGACCTAAGTTGCCAAGCAACAGCTGTTCAGCAACTTAGGTCATTTATACTAAGTGACATATAAATCCGAACACCCAGTTTAAATAATTTTATTTTAATAAAAGTCGGTGAATGTATTTATCTTACTGTAAATAACAAGTGAAAAAATGTTCAGCCTTATCAGTTGGACATTCCGGTTTTTATACTGCTTTTTTTTAATTCACTAACGCTCTAAAAATGAATATTTCAGCCGCAGTAAAGAATCAACGTTGGCGGATTTTGGTTCTTGACATCCTTTACGATCGGTTACGATGCTTAGAGTACGGAGACCTGCACGATTTCGTCAACTTAGTGAGTTTGATTAGGGGCCGTATAGCTGAACCTTCTTTTTGGGAAATTGCAGTTAGAGTGCAAAGAAGTGTAGACACTGTGGTTAGGTGTTGTCAGGCATGGCTTCGAGAAGGCCGTACGCAAAGAGCAAGGGGCACTGGACGCCGCCGTAGAACAACAGACCGTGAAGATCGCCGCCTAAGATTATTGGCCTTAAGGGACCGTTTCTCCACTACCAGGTCCATTGCAAACGAATGGTTTGCAGAACACGGAAGACCTATTGGCATGCGAAGTGTTTACCGACGAATGAGAAGTTTTGGCTTGTTTTCATACCGGCCACACTGGGTCCTCCCTTTAATTCGAGAACACCGACGTAATCGCTTTGAGTGGTGCAGACAACGGTCACTCTGGGATCAGGAATGGAACAGTATTGTCTTTAGTGACGAGTCTCGATTTTGTTTAGGCATGCACGATGGTCGTGCCAGGGTTAGAAGGCGACGTGGTGAAAAGAGGAATCCATAGTCCACAGTTTTTTGTTGAAAGACATGTTCATCACATTGTTGGAGTTATGGTTTGGGGTGCTATAGCTTATGGTTCCAGGTCACCTTTAATCTTCATCAGAGGTAACATGAACGCGCAGCGTTATATCCACGAAGTTCTAGAACCCCATCTTTTACCCTATCTTGACACCCTGGTAGATCCAACTTTCCAACAGGATAATGCCCGGCCACATGTTGCAAGAGTCACAATAGACTTCTTTCAACATAATGATGTCACATTGTTACCATGGCCACCAAGATCTCCCGACTTATCCCCAATTGAGCACGTGTGGGATATGATGGGTAGGAGATTGCTCAATTTGTAACGTCCTCCTCAGACTCTAGAAGCACTTCGAGAGGAGTTGGTGGTTGCCTGGAATGAGATACCACAGGAGGACATTGACCACCTGATCAGAAGCATGCCTAGGCGCGTTAGAGAATGCGTGGTACATCAGGGTGCATCCACACATTATTAAAGGTCAAAGGGCTTTAAAGCAGTGCAATCATTTTGAAATTTTTATCAAGGCCAACTTTATCGATAAGAAGAGAAACACTATTACACCGTTCTTGTTGCGATTTTTCATTGAAGAGCGAAGGTGAATTGTGAGAACTGTTTTCAAATTCTTCGCCATTTCCGCACCATTTAAATACTATTAAGATTAATAAGTTCTTAACGTTTCGCAGACTCGCTAATGATGAACCAGTCGAAGTTCCGTATATAATGGAAATTCTTGAGAAATATGAACAGGCAATTTCAGAACGCACCGCGCACTGGGCTTTCATCGTGTTCGGTAAACTTCGGAATTATTTCCCAAAGCATTCAAGAGGCTCGTTGCGATGTACCGGGTGTTACGGAATAAGATAGTTAATCGTAACCCAAGAAAAAAATCTCAAGCTAGAAGTTATTTTTAAAAATGGCAATATCTCGAAAATTATAAAACTTTTACTGAGGTCATGTAGATTTTATCTGATTGATCTGAAGTCAGTCTACCTCCCGCGCCACTCTGGCGTGTTATTTCTGGGACACCCTGTATAATACAGCAACGATTAGATTTCATTAAGTTGAACAAAAAAGTACACGTAAACTTACTTAATTTATATTCGATCAACTTAAATTACCTGAGTAACATTGATGAAACTCTTCAAGTCGACGGTAAAGATCGAGAGACTTAATCTGTATTGGTTATATCCGACTCAGTTATCCCACAGGCGGTAGAGGAGATGAAACATACTTTCTCGTGCTGATAAGCAAGTAATTTAAAAGTTTGCAACTGGGAAAACTACCAGGATCAATCAAAAGTATAGGAACACCCCCGGATTGGCCTAAAATTCAACAGGGTCAAACTTGTGCTGAACATAAATCCTTTATGAACTGATGACTACGTTGACTTTTACTGTATAAAGATGACTGATAAAGAATATTATCAAATTCTTTTATAAAATAACAAGTCTGAAATTTTATAAAAATATTACACATAATGACCTACGTCAACGATACACGAATCATCCAAATAATGATGAAATCCTAGTTCAATGATAAACAAGGATCGAGCAGTAATTTAAAATTACGCAAAATACAATGCTCTTAAACAGAACACAGATGAATTCGTTTGGCCCAAAAACGAAATCCAATTTTTAAGGTGCACATGCAAATTTGTATCAACAACTCACAGTTGAAAGTCTCCGACCGTGTAAGAAACCTCACCTCTTCTTTTATATCTTAGTATACGTACTATTGGTTCCTTGGTCTATTTTTATTTTTACCTTACTCAGCATCATTCTTCTTACTATTGGATGAATATCAACCTATTTTTCCTCGCGTATATGCCACTTCCAGCTGTGTCTGGTAGTCCACCCACCTACCACATTCTAGTAGGTGATTAGGAGTTCAATCATTCTCAGATTTTTTTATCAACCTTAACAGCTTCTTCTGTCAGCCAGAAAGTATGACTACTTCTATCTTCTCAGGAGCTAATATCAAGCAACGGCCCTAGAACGAAGCCCTGCGGAACTCCCATGGTTATCTGCATCGTCCTGGCCAGCTGTGGCACTGCTTTAAGTGCATCTGTGGCAGACGTATTTTCTTAGTCTACATTCTATCAGTCGTTCTAGTAGCTTTCCAAGTGAACTCAGCATGCACAGAGGTCTATATTTGATTTGCCTTTCGGGTTTTGAGATGAGTACCAAACCAGCCTCCTTCCATCTCTTCGGAAAGTCAAGCATTCATTTGTCACAGGCAGCACGATTTCTGGTATCTCTTTAACCAGCGCTTTCACTATCTCATTTGGTATTTCATCTAGTTCTTGTGCATAACATGTTTTCGAGTGGATTCAAGATTCTTTCAGCTCACTCACGGTGAACTCTGGTACGTCCAGGGTTTCCTCTATTATACTAAGTGACATATAAATCCGAACACCCAGTTTAAATGGTTTTATTTTAATAAGATTTTGTATAAGTACTTAATGAAGCATAATAAGTAAATGATAAAAATTTCAAAATGATTGCACTGCTTTAAAGCCCTTTGACCTTTAATAATGTGTGGATGCACCCTGATGTGCTACGCATTCTCCAACGCGCCTAGGCATGCTTCTGATCAGGTGCTCAATGTCCTCCTGTGGTATCTCATTCCAGGCAACCACCAGCTCCTCTCGAAGTGCTTCTAGAGTCTGAGGAGGACGTTGCAAATTGAGCAATCTCCTACCCATCATATCCCACACGTGCTCAATTGGGGATAAGTCGGGAGATCTTGGTGGCCATGGTAACAATGTGACATCATTATGTTGAAAGAAGTCTATTGTGACTCTTGCAACATGTGGTCGGACATTATCTTGTTGGAAAGTTGGATCTGCCAGGGTGTCAAGATAGGGTCCTAGAACTTCGTGGATATAACGCTGCGCGTTCATGTTACCTCTGATGAAGATTAAAGGTGACCTGGAACCATAAGCTATAGCACCCCAAACCATAACTCCAACAGTGTGATGAACATGTCTTTCGACAAAAAACTGTGGATTCCTCCTTTCACCACGTCGCCTTCTAACCCTGGCACGATCATCGTGCATGCCTAAACAAAATCGAGACTCGTCACTAAAAACAATACTGTTCCATTCCTGATCCCAGAGTGACCGTTGTCTGCACCACTCAAGGCGATTACGTCGGTGTTCTCGAGTTAAAGGGAGGACCCAGTGTGGCCGGTATGAAAACAAGCCAAAACTTGTTATTTGTCGGTAAACACTTCGCATGCCAATAGGTCTTCCGTGTTCTGCAAACCATTCAGTTGCAATGGACCTGGTAGTGGAGAAACGGTCCCTTAAGGCCAATAATCTTAGGCGGCGATCTTCACGGTCTGTTGTTCTACGGCGGCGTCCAGTGCCCCTTGCTCTTTGCGTACGGTCTTCTCGGAGCCATGCCTGACAATACCTAACCACAGTGTCTACACTTCTTTGCACTCTAACTGCAATTGCCCGAAAAGAAAGCCCAGCTTCCCGAAGTCCCACTATACGGCCCCTATCAAACTCACTAAGTTGACGAAATCGTACAGGTCTCCGTACTCTAAGCATCGTAACCGATCGTAAAGGATGTCAAGAACCAAAATCCGCCAACGTTGATTCTTTACTGCGGCTGAAATATTCATTTTTAGAGCGTTAGTGAATTAAAAAAAAGCAGTATAAAAACCGGAATGTCCAACTGATAAGGCTGAAAATTTTTTCACTTGTTATTTACAGTAAGATAAATACATTCACCAACTTTTATTAAAATAAAACCATTTAAACTGGGTGTTCGGATTTATATGTCACTTAGTATATTTTTACCCTGATCAGTTTTGGTATTGTAATATTTTTTCTTTTGCTCTCGTAGAACTGCAACAGCTTGGTTTCTTGATCTTGTGTATCCTAGCACTTCCAGCAATCATAAACTTTTTATAATTGTAGTCTCTGTTTAATTTAGAATCCTTGAACGTCTGCGAGAACCAAGGTGTTGGATTTTTTATTTTATAAAATGGTTGTCTTGACTGTAGCTTCTTTTATGCAAACTTCAACATTATCTTCCAAATACTGAAATGTCAGTACTGAGTAGGTCGAAAAAGTCAAAATGCCCGAGCAGATGTACTGCTCCGAGCAAATCTCCATACCGCCATCCTTCCCGTATCTGCTACGCCAATACGCCAAAGCAGCCATAAGAACTCAACCGTCTGACCTGCTTAAATGGTCCACGGCTTACTTCCGCTGCCTCTCGCTTGACATCCCTCCTCCTGTCAAGCCTCGATTGGAATACCCCATCCCTAAAGGGTTCTGTGGGATAACTCCGGGATGGTTGAAGGCCCTTCTGTACCAGTTGCAGAACAATCGGACAGTCTCGTTCAAGATATTGTGGGATAGATGGACTGGAGCGTGTTTGGAACATAAGACGTTGATTCAGATCCTGTGTTTGGGCGGATTCGCAGGTAAGATTTTTCTTAAGATTTATATAAGTACTAAAAATATTCAGTCTGGTATCTCTTATATAAATGAAGACTTGAAGCTTGTCTCAAAATGGTTAGCATCTAACAGACTAAAATTAAATGCAAGTAAAACGAAAGCCTTGTTAATCGGAAAAAACAATGTACAAATGTTCAACTGAACATTGATGGTGAAGATATTGAATTCGTTGAAAATTTTAAATACCTGGGAGTTTTTGTTGACTCTCGATTAATTTTTGATATTCATTATGAAAAAGTTATAAATAAGATTAGTAGTAAAGTGGGATATTTATCGAGAGTTTCTGGATGTCTGAGTTCATATAGCAGAAAAATTATCTATAATACCATCATTCTTCCAAATTTCTTGTACTGTTCGACTATTCTATATTTAGCAAATAATTCCATTTTTGAAAGACTGCAAATTTTACAAAATAAGTGCATGAGAATAATACTAAATAAAGATAAATATACTCCAATTAGGCAAATGCTTAGCAAATTAAAATGGCTCAATGTAAAAAATTTTATCAAATATCTTGTAATGATATTCATTTATAAAGTAAAAAATAATATATTTCCATCAAGTCTAACTAATTTAACATCATCAAATGTCGACCATCATTTACATAATACCAGAAATAAAGATGACTTCCATTTAATGACCAAAAAGTATAACATATGCTACAAATCTGTATTCCATCAAGGGTTGATTGAATATAATAAATTATACTCGGAGATAAAAGACCAGAAGACTTTGACAAAATTTAAAGTAAAATTGAGAAATCACTTGTTAAATCTACAATTATAGGTTGCCCAGCAGTTACATCATACACCATATGGCTTGAATTTACTAGTTCTAAGTTGTTTACAATTGTTCTGCTTATGTAGCCAAATGTGCTAAATAAATCTTTCTACTACTACTACTCGCGGAGACAGGAGCTCAAAGACTTCATGGTAAAATTTTTTAAATTCCTCAGATGAAAACCGCATCTCGATATCTTGATAACCTAAAATTTAGGCCGAAGAAAATTTTATACGGAAATTTCTTACTTTTTTTTAAACTAATTCTTCTGCCGTTTCGAAGATACAGACTGAAATGTTTTTTTTACAGACGCTGAAGCCATACCATGGCTAAAATTCGTTGGGCTATGTGCAGCACATCTGACTCACGATCTCACTCATACCATGATGTTGATCTGCGAAATAAGTACCGAAGAACCGGAAGGGGGGTCAGCGATGATATCTTTGGAGATATTCATGGTGAGCTTAAATTAAAATACATCTGTATTTATACGAATCATAAGCAATACATAAACATCGGTATATTAACTGACAACGTGATTATAGAAAATAGAACGTTAATCACTTTGTTTATTTAAGATTTACTTAGCATGATTGCTATAATTACATTATTTTAAAAAGCTACAACAATTACATAGCATACAGAAAGGTTTAGAAATCTCGAAACTGGAGAAACTACAGACCAAAATATGTGAATTGATCTTAACATATCTTAGTCCAAAAGTTGTTAGTTTGCGAGATGCAGGCTGTCAAAGTTACAACCTTTATTTGAGTCGATAGAACGGTCGATATAATTTAATGTTTAAAGATTATTTCATGTAAATGTTGGCCGCGGCTCCGCTTTAGATGGCCCATGCGCAAGGTCCAATTTTGGCACACTCTCTCCAACATATCGGCCGGTATCTCACGAATAAATGCTTCAATATTGGCTTCCAGTGCGTCAATCGTTGCTGGTTTATCTCTGTAGACATTAGCCTTAACATGGCCCCACAAGAAATAGTCCAACGGCATTAAATCACACGATCTAGGCGGCCAATTGACGGGCCCCAAACTTGAGATAAACTGTTCACCGAACTCGCCTGTCAATAGGGCCATTGTTTCGTGTACGGTGTGGCATGTGGCACCGTCTTGTTGAAACCACATGTCAGCCAAGTCCAGCTCTTCCATTTTGGGCAAAAAAAAGTTTGTTATCATCGCACGGTAGCGCTCGCCATTCACAGTTACGTTCCGGCCATTGTCGTCTTTGAAGAAGTACGGCCCGATGATGCCACCGGCCCATAATCCACACCAAACAGTGATTTCTTCGGGATGGATTGGTAGCTCTTGCAATGCTTCTGGCTGGTCTTCACTCCAGATGCGGCGATTTTGCTTGTTAACGTACCCATTCAACCAGAAATGAGCTTCGTCGCTGAACACAATTTTTCGATAAAAATGTGGATCTTCCTCCAACTTTGCCAGCGCCCATTCACCAAATTAGAAACTCGTGGAAGATCGTGTGGCTTCAATTCTTGCACCAGCTGTATCTTATAAGGTTTTACACCCAAATCCTGTCGCAAAATTTTCCACGTAGGCCCAATTGCTGCGAATCGACATTTCCCGGTCATCCCTAACACTGGCGGATACAGCCGCAATATTTTCTTCAGTCCTCACTCTACGCCTGCGTGTTGGTGGTTTAATGTCCAATAATGTAAACTGGGTTCGAAATTTAGTCACAAGCTTCCGAATAGCTCCATCAGTAGGCCGACCAAATTGCCCATAAATTGGAAGCAGTGCTCGATGCACTCTCTTAACCGAGCATGAATTTTGATAGTACAATTCAATAATTTGCAAGCGTTGTTCGTACGTAAGTTGATTCATGGTTAAATTATAGACCAAACTGAATAAGTTTGACAATTACACAAGACACGATTCACGCGTCATCTGTCAAAAAACAGTGTTGCTAAAAAGATACTAGCAAAAAAATTACCCATTATGTTTCTAAATGTTGCTAGAGAAGTATTTCAGATTTTGGCATAAACCTCGGTATAGGGATTTTCTAGTATAGGAAACAAGAATCCGTTATTTTTTATGGCCAAACTTCTAGAGTGCGCTACTTACAGCACTGTTTCGGTAAATACCTTATCATAACTATTTTGTGCTACCCTGTATACAACAATTATCAGAATTAAATTAGTCGAATTTTATTAGATCAAATAGCTTCACAGCGATTGAAGATGGGTATACATTTTATTACACAATTACTAAAAACTTCATGGAAAATCTAAAAATCAAAAAATTTAAAAACCTAAAGTGTATCTCAATATCTTATTTTGGATCACCCTGTATTGTACCTTTATAGATGAAAAGACGTCCCCCTTGAAATCAAAATTGACGTGTCCGAGCCTTTTTCCCAAAATATACCAGGACAGTTACAACGTTGGGTGCCACCTTTTCGATGAGCCACCCTGTATATTCCAAAGAAACTTTAAGTCAACGTAAAAAGTTATCGTTTTCTCATTTTATTAGAATAAACAATCAAGGACGTTGGATTCGTAATAGCAGATATTTTTTATACTATTTAGAAGTTATGTTTAAATGTAAAGTTTGAGAGGTTATGCTACTGGCAGCTGATGTTTACAAATGGTATGACGTCAGAGGACACTAACATGGCGGACAGCGTTTCTGCCTGTGTAAGAAATATGTTGTTTTCATTTACGGTCTTTTAATTCTGGAAAAATATGGTATTAATCTTTTTTGGTTTAATAGAACAAATGTTAACCACTAAAGACCTACTTTTAAAAAAGTGTCAATTAGCCTATTACGAGGGATGTCTTTTAAGTTTGCTGGCAGATCCAAAACGGCATTTTTGAATGCGTCAACTGCTTCTTCTGGTGACTGGAACGTTTGACTACGCAATCTGTCTTTAATTTTCGGGAAAGTAAAGAAATCGTTAGGACTTAGATCGTTACTATATGGAGGATGGTCCAATAACTCCACGTTTTCTTCCATTAAATACTGCCTTGTTTTTTGGACTGTTAGTCTTGGTGGAGGATGATTCTTCTTTCGGGGTTGATTTTTCGAAGCTTGGCGATGACTTTTGGCAAACAGATGGTGGTATACCAATCCACAGTAACAGTTCTTTGCTCATTAAGATGAATTGTTGCAATATGGCCCGCTTTTGACACAAATGTCGCGACCGTCTTTTTCTAAACAGTTCGAGAACAGATGACTTTTGTTGGCTTTTCTTCACCTTGGAACACCCAAACAGCCGACTGTCGTTTATTTTCTGGTTCATAACAGTAAATCCACGGTTCATCACCACTAACAATGCTGTACACATTTTTTGGCAGCAATTAACCCTGGCTGCTTTCTGCTCTTCAGTCAACAGGTGGGGTATCCAATATATGCAAAACTTGAAAGACATCCCTCGTAACAGACATTTGAATCACATCGACGTTCCCTACTCCAGGAGCTGTACAAGTTCCTGGCCAACATAGACGCCTCCAAGCCTCAGAAGTTGAAGAACATCCACTTCACTGACTCGGTACTGAGCCTTTGGGGCGAAAAGGTAGAAGAGGAAGCTAAACAGGAGAGCAAGGAAGAGATAGCAATCGAGGCAGAAAGCGAGAGCTCTCAGGAAACTGAGAAGTCTGTGATGGACGAAGCTATTAAAGAACCTAGCAGGGAAACGATATCGTGTCCAAGCATTGCCGGAGATGAGGAATTGAAGTACGATGTGGACTACTTCATCGATATACCCGAGGAAGAGGGAGAAGACGGTTTGAGCATATTTTTTAAGTAGTTATTTTTGGGGGTTGATCCCGTTGCGTATTTGGTGAATGATGTTGACACTGAAACGAGTGTTCTTAGTAGGCTATGTAATTTATATGTCAAACAGTTTTTACGTTATAAAATGTCTGCAAAAAATCATATGGTGTCAATATTTGGACACGCGGTATATAAAAAAGACCTTTTTTTGTCCAGATATAAAAATTCACGAGTATTTGGAAGGCGTCCGACCGCCGTTCGATATCGGAGTCGAACCCGTGGAAGAACCTCAGGGAGATGTTAAAAAAGTCGCACGAGAAGAAACGGAAGATGAACAAAAAGCGGAAGAAAAAGCAGCTACTAAGTGAGTGCATTTTTTATATACTTGACTCGCCATGAAAGCAGACCATGCATTATACTGAATTATGGAATCAACATTTATTAACAAAAAAATAAAAACATTGGCCTGCTACTATATTTTAGTACGCTTAATAAAATGTCAAACCGCGCTTATCTTGTACTACCACAAAATAGCTCAATAAAATTAGATATGGATTAAACTATTACGGTATACGTTTTTCAACACGTTTTCCCAATCTGTACGTCAGTTTGTCTGTTTGTTTAACATTTATTTAGCATGATTGCTACAATTACATGCTTTTAAAAAATACAACAGCTACATTACATACTGATATTTAGGCAAACAAAATTCGTAACTCTAAGAATTTTCACAGTGCATGAAATATTTTGGACCTGATGAAGCCAACCAGCAGAAATACGTATCGCTCGGGTTACCTATCCTATTTTCTGGTCGAATCCACTTTCCTTTTTGCGGATTTTGCCCATTATTTTCCTACTTCTTGTATATATATATATATATATACATATATATATATATATATATATATATATATATATTCAGGTATATACTTCGAAGTTGACTCATTTATTTTAACAGTAAGTAGATCTGATCAAAAGAAATGTTTTTTTCCTTTACCATTTTTCTGGTAAAATTAAAGTAACAAAGTTATAGCCCTTTGGAAGTTTGAGTACCGCCCTGTCTCAATAATAATATTATGTGCTCGTGTTTGGCGACAACGGATATAATTCGCCTTATCGGTTCATCGCATCGGAAACAAAAAAGCGAAAGAATTTGGAACGATGTTTTTACAATTATTTCATTCATATGTGCATACAGTCAGTGTCAGTCGGTAGTGGATAGTGGTGTCTGTTGCGTGGCTCAAACGAAATAAAAAATGACACATGTTTATGCGGATCGGTTTCCCAATCGAGTGCAACCAACCCCTCGTGCCTTTCTTAATGTAGTACAACGGGTTCGTGAATCATTTGACTTAAGACCTCACATATGGACGGCATGCCGGTGCTTCAAGACCTCACGATCAAATACAGGTCCGCACTGAAATACTTGTCGGGAGGATACTTTATAAAACAAGGTAAAAATTTTTTTTTATTTTTTTTTATTTTTACACATATATTTTGGTTTATCTTCCTTCTACAATCATTATCTGAAAATTAATGACTCAACTTCAAAGTCACCCTGTATATATACAGGGTGACCGCAAAGTTGGGGTTTTCCTTTTCAGAAACAACTACCCTTGAAATAACAAAGGTAATGTGTAGTGAAACGAGGGCGACCAAGTAAAAAAATAAAGGAAAAAGTACTCTCTCTCCAGTTGACGAGAAGGGCTAAGTACGTCTCTGCTCGAAATCACACCGCTCCAACAGAAATGAAATCAGCTGATGAGCATACCGTTCACCATGCCAGCCCAAACGTTCACCGAAAATGTTTGTTGAAAATGTGCCCGACGGACAGCGTGCGGATTTTCTACTGACCAAACATGAGTGTTGCGAAAGTTATTCACCCCATTACGCGTGAACGTAGATTCGTCTATCACCAATATGCACTTCAAAAAGTCCGTATTATTGTCATGTTGATGCAACAACCACTCACAAAACCGCACTCTTGCTGGAAAATCGTCAGGTTGAAGGGCTTGTACACGTTGGACGTGAAACAGATACAGCCCCTCTTCACGCAGCGTTTGCCACACTTTAGTTTTTGATACTTGTACTTCTCTAGCCACGTCTCTAGTGCTTGTTGAGGGATTCTCGTCTACGCGATTACCTCTACATGCGTGACCGTCGGTTGAAGGTTGCATACTGACCTGACACACTGACCCCGACCCAGTTCTGTCGTCGGGTTGAGCCAGTGACCTTGTACCAGTCGGTGATGTCGCGGCTACAGGACGGTATTCAGATATTTTTGATGTTGCAGAGCCCTTTATCTCGGTTCCCTTAAGACATTGGTGTATATGGTACTAAGAAAAATTGCTTATGCATTTTCAATAATTTCATCATTTATCCTAACTGTGATATTTATATTCATTCAGGTATTTCCCTATTACCATTCACTTTCTTTTAGAAGCATTCAATTTTAGTTTATTTACATTTAACCAATTTATGATTTTTTCCAAGCAAAGACTTAGTATCTTTGAAGCAGTGTCTATATTTTCATCTGATATGAATATTAATGTATCATCTGCAAATATCTGAATTTTACAATAATCTGCAATATTACAAATGTCATTAATGTATAAAATAAATAGTAGTGGACCTAGTTTAATACCTTGTGGAACACCGACCAATTTTGGCTTTTTGAGTTAGAGAATAATAATTTTAAATCAAAGATAAAGGGATACCTTACAGAAAATGGTTGCTATGGTTTTTAAGAATACATGGTCAGTGATTTTACACTTCTTTCTCCATCATAAAATTTTACTTCATTTATTCGTGTTTTGACCATTCACATTGAGCGTTTATATTTATATAAAAGTATTTAGAGCAATAGTACCTTTCTTGTATTTGACACAAACTTTAATAAGTGTTTGTCATCCCCTCCTATATTTGTTATGACACACACCCACTTTACAAATGACATGTGTAAGCACTACTTGTATACCAATAAACTATCATTGTTTTATTATTATTATGGTACTCGTAATACACCCCTTTTAGAAACGAGAACGACGAGCAAAATGAAGGCGATAAAAGTGAACAGGCCGGTGAAGGCAGAAAAGAAGACGAAGTCCCAGGTGAAGGCGGTTTCGAGGAGTTGGTGCCATATGACGTTGAATACGTGGCGCCTGAAGAGGAAGGCGTTCTTGGGGACGAAGGATCGGTGGAGACGGTGTTCGAAGAACCGAGGAAGATCGAGCCCGAACGATCACTTTTTGAAGACCAGAGGGCGCTGTTTGAGGATCTTGAGAGGTTCAAGGTGCTACAGGAGATACCAGGTGAAACTCGATTCCACTTACAATCCAATCCAAATAATATTTCGTTTCGTTTCGTCTCTTGTTCTCAATCACCGACTTATTTCAAGTTAGAAAAAAGTAGAAATCGTTAAAATGCAAAAAGCGCGCAACATTAATTAAGTATGTATCATACATTCAACAGACGTCCGCAAATTCTTTGTTCTCAAGACACAGGGTGTTAAAATTTAAAACAAAAGGTTTTACTTCAATATTTTAAATATAATTTAATCAATTTTGTTGTAATTTGGCGGAGATATTTATAACATTAAAGAGCTAATTTAGGCCTAACTTGATTTAATTTGTCAATTTTATTATATCCTGATAAAGTAAGTTATTATTACGTTTTTCTTATTTAGCATAATAATTTTATAGCAGTTCGTAAAAATATCGATTTTTTTATAACAAAATGCTTCATACACTACTCTCGATCTCGTTAAAGTTTATTGTTTATCATTTCTGTCGACCGTAAATACGAAGCTGAAGGTGACCTCGTGTAGGAATTCAACGGCCCACAACCCGATTTAGTGAAATGATTTCACACGCAGTGCTGCGATTTATCGGGTGGTGGAGTTTTGTTGTCGGAGCCCTTTTGTTACCCTCTTGGAGACTTGGCCATTGTCATAAATACATGTTTCTGTACGTTGTGAGTTTGTATCTCTATTCTTTATTCTATCTATAATATACTAAGTGACATATAAATCCGAACACCCAGTTTAAATGGTTTTATTTTAATAAAATCTTGTATAAGTACTAATGAAGCATAATAAGTAAATGATAAAAATTTCAAAATGATTGCACTGCTTTAAAGCCCTTTGACCTTTAATAATGTGTCGATGCACCCTGATGTGCTACGCATTCTCCAACGCGCCTAGGCATGCTTCTGATCAGGTGGTCAATGTCCTCCTGTGGTATCTCATTCCAGGCAACCACCAACTCCTCTCGAAGTACTTCTAGAGTCTGAGGAGGACGTTGCAAATTGAGCAATCTCCTACCCATCATATCCCACACGTGCTCAATTGGGGATAAGTCGGGAGATCTTGGTAGCCATGATAACAATGTGACATCATTATGTTGAAAGAAGTCTATTGTGACTCTTGCAACATGTGGTCGGGCATTATCTTGTTGGAAAGTTGGACCTGCCAGGGTGTCAAGATAGGGTAAAAGATGGGGTTCTAGAACTTCGTGGATATAACGCTGCGCGTTCATGTTACCTCTGATGAAGATTAAAGGTGACCTGGAACCATCAGCTATAGCACCCTAAACCATAACTCCAACAGTGTGATGAACATGTCTTTCAACAAAAAACTGTGGATTCCTCCTTTCACCACGTCGCCTTCTAACCCTGGCATGATCATCGTGCATGCCTAAACAAAATCGAGACTCGTCACTAAAGACAATACTGTTCCATTCCTGATCCCAGAGTGACCGTTGTCTGCACCACTGAAGGCGATTACGTCGGTGTTCTCGAGTTAAAGGGAGGACCCAGTGTGGCCGGTATGAAAACAAGCCAAAACTTCTCATTCGTCGGTAAACACTTCGCATGCCAATAGGTCTTCCGTGTTCTGCTAACCATTCATTTGCAATGGACCTGGTAGTGGAGAAACGCTACCTTAAGGCCAATAATCTTAGGCGGCGATCTTCACGGTCTGTTGTTCTACGGCGGCGTCCAGTGCCCCTTGCTCTTTGCGTACGGCCTTCTCGAAGCCATGCCTGACAACACCTAACCACAGTGTCTACACTTCTTTGCACTCTAACTGCAATTGCCCGAAAAGAAAGTCCAGCTTCCCGAAGTCAAGGATGTCAAGAACCAAAATCCGCCAACGTTGATTCTTTACTGCGGCTGAAATATTCATTTTTAGAGCGTTAGTGAATTAAAAAAAAAGCAGTAAAAAAACCAGAATGTGCAACTGATAAGGCTGAAAATTTTTTCACTTGTTATTTACAGTAAGATAAATACATTCACCAACTTTTATTAAAATAAAACCATTTAAACTGGGTGTTCGGATTTATATGTCACTTAGTATACATGTTTCTCTACGTTGTGAGTTTGTATCTCTATCCTTTATTCTATCTATAATATACTTGATACTATTTGCATTGTTATTATCTTTAGGTGAAACCGATGAAGAAGTAGAGAAGTACAAATGCGCTCTAATCGAAGACATGCCTCTAACTGAGTCCCAGCTGAAAGCGGTCGGGCATTTCGGACCTGGTATCACCGACATTGAGCCGATTAAAGAAGGAGCCGCTCCAGATGAAGACGTTGGTGAAGAAGAGGAGGAATTTGTTGGTAAAAAATTGCTCGATTTTTCGAAATAACGTCAAAGTTGGGACTTTACTGAGCATATAAATAAGCTAATAATAAGCAAAGTTTTCCTAGCTATGCGTGCAGAGTGTCCCAAAAAAGTGAAAAAACTGTAAAAGTCGTATGTCACTATACAAAATTTTGTTCATAATTTGTATATATGAGAATAATTTAAGAATATGCACACTAACATATCAAGATTGCCATACAAACAGATCTTCGATATCCTTTCCAGTTTGCTCATAAAACGACTTTCCATTTTCGTTGTATATTCAATTTTTTGTAGGAGAAAGTGAGGAGGAAGACAAAGACACACATTACGAAGAAGTTTGGGTAGACGCAATTCCTGGGATTGGACCAGTTGTTCCTGAACATTTGGTTAGAGCAGTAGGGGAATATATGAGCAGTATCGCCGCCATACAGCATGGGATGGTCATGCCGAGAAATATCAGGCATTACAATTGCCCTCCTTTGGAAGTAGTGGAATATTGAAATATACACAGTTTTATAAGAATCCTGTATTATTTATTACGCACTGACGAAGCAAAACAAAGCTTGGCAAAGGCGCAATTCCGGGCATCAAGAACTGACAGTCACATGACATTTTTCGACATTTTCTGCCATACTGGCTAAAGTGGCAAGTGGCTTTCTCAACAGATTGTCTAGATTGTCTGATTGTTTCATGGTGTATGTACTTCGTGTTTCTTACCATTTCTAAGATCCCAATGGTGAGAGTCCTGTATAACATCTATAGAAAGAAGGTCTTGAAAAAACGTCAGCCTTGAACGTCTCTCCTAGTGGCTCGTAGGATACAATTTGCGTTCAAACCTACCGAAAGGTGCACTCATATGTAAATTAACAGTTTCTTAAAGCCTACTCACTTATTGTACAGGATCAAGTCTGGCCTCCAGACTCGATTGTAGGGTATCCTGATGACCTTGATACCAGCGAAATCTGAAGCGTTCCATCTGAGATGATGGTCTATCCATATCTGCGTAATCCAGCAGTTCGTTGTCAGGATCTGATTTTTTTCATCCTATAACAAACAAAATAGGCTTACCAGGTGGCCGGTAAATAATAAAATTTGGTGATTGATGTCTTCTGAATTTGATTTCGTACAGCCTCCAATGTTTGTAGTGAATTTTCATTCCAATACATGTTCGATGGGGGAAAGGTCTGGAGATAGAGAAGGCCACAGAAGCAGAATTATTACGGACGCTTCCGAAAAATCTAAGTTAACACGTGCGAATAAGATCGTGCATCCAATAGTGGATCTTGCAATGTTTCCAAAAAAGGAAGCAGATGTGGATTACGCTGGGTATGAAATCAGACCAAAAGAAATTATTTTGCGATAAAGTGTAAACAACAAAAAGCAACTCTAGCATATCTCAACTTGTTGATCGTCCAACGAGATTCAGGGAAGGACAGACGCCTAGGGCTCTGGATTTGATATTCGTTCACGACGCCGACTTTGTTTCTAATTTAGATTATTTGCCACGTTTTGGCAAGTCCGACCACTGTTCACTTTTATTTTCTCTCCAGTTCAATATAAATAGTCGTTCTACAACCGATAAGTTTAAAACCATCAAAATTGTAAACCACGATGCTCTTAACCAAGCCCTGTCTGAAGTCAACTGGCCTGCTTTGCTTAACAACCGTAGCACTCAAGATATGTGGGACACTTTCGCTCAACGAGTCCTAAGCGAAACGGCTGACAATACTGTTGAAAAGAAGGTATACTGTGACCCCTCAAAGCCCTGGATCAACTCTAACATATCGAGGATGCTTCGTCACAAGAGATCTTTGTGGCAACGGTTTAGGAGGAGTGGCCATTCACAAGATTACGTGTCTCATCGATCCTTTTCTAACCTCCTATCTAGAACGTTACATAATGCCAAACATGCTTATGAACGAAAACTCGTTACCTCCAAAAATAAGAAGAAGCTGTTTCGGTATCTAAGAACAAACCTGAATTCCAAAGTTTCATCACCTCAGATCCGCGACGCTGACGGTCATCTCCACATGGATGCCACCGAATCTGCCAACGTACTGGCAGAGTCCTTTAGTGATGACTTCGTCGAAGAGTCTAATGGAGACCTTCTACCGACCACTATCTGCCATAGGTGTCCCAACAGCTTTTGCGAAGTTGAGTTCCTGCCTGAAGATGTATTAATGCACCTGCGAAATCTGAAGACCTCTTCCTCCCCTGGTAAAGATGGGATGACGGCTGCTGTACTTAAAAACTGCGCTTCAGCACTGGCCCTACCATTAAGCTTGATATTCACATCGTCTTTTAGATCTCATACCCTACCCTCATGCTGGCTTAGTGCTTCTGTTACCCCTGTATTCGAAAAGGGCGACAAATCCTCCGCTAAAAATTATCGACCAATAAGTCTCGTTCCTATCGCCGCCAAAATAGCTGAAAGAATCATATTAGATAAGCTCCTGTCATTTGCTTTCGAAAATGACCTTATCCCTAAGAATCAGCATGGATTTCTCCCTGGTCGATCAATAATGACCAACCTTCTCCACTCTCTCAACGATTGGACTCAGTATCTGGACACAAAGACTCCTGTTGATATAATCTACTTAGATTTTTCTAGGGCTTTCGATCGCGTACCACATAGAAGGCTTCTGTTTAAGTTGGAATGTATGGGAATAAGAGGCGAGTTGTTACTGTGGATTAAGGCTTTCTCACCGGGAGGACTTTCTCTGTGCGCGTCAGTGATAGCCAGTCTCACCTTCATCATGTAGCAAGTGGAGTTCCTCGAGGCTCTGTCTTGGGACCAGTGCTGTTCCTTCTGTATACAAGTAACCTGCCCGCATTTCTCCACATGTTCAATTTATGCCGACGACACCAAGATTTACAATACTGTCGTAAATTCTGCTATGCTTCAACGAGATCTTGATATTGTTTGTCAATGGTCAGTCAGTTGGCTTTTACCCTTAAATCTAACTAAGTGTTGTGTCCTTCACCTCGGGAAGACAAATCCGCGATTTACATACAAGATCTCTGACCACAACATCGAAGCAGTTTCCAGCCACACTGATCTGGGCGTTCTAGTCAACGATCGTCTTTCCTGGTCAAAGCATATTCACCACGTTACATCAAAAGCCAAGAAACTTCTATACATGCTGGAGAGGTCTTTCAAAGGATCCGATGTCAACACTTGCGCCTACATTTACAAGGCATTCGTGAGGCCAATTCTTGAATTCGCTGGCCCGGTATGGGACACTGTGCTTCTGCGCGATAGAAATCTCGTCGAATCAGTACAGCGTCGGGCTACTCGTATCCCTTTTGGAGCACGAAGACCAAGCTATGAAGATCGCCTTGAATTATTCAACCTGACCTCATTCTCTGAGCGAAGACTTCGTGGCGATCTTATAGTTACGTTCAGGATACTTCATGGTTTGATGGGCACCAACGTCATGCATCTATATCGTCTGTCGCGCAGCAATCTACGCGGACACAGCTTCAAACTGCATAAGGAGCCATTTAAAACAACAGTCCGACAGTGGTTTCTTCCCAACTGCATATTCAACACCTGGAATAGTTTACCTGAAAGTGTGGTTGGTGCTACTTCAGTTAATAGCTTCAAAGTGCAGTATGATAGCTGGAGGAGTGTACAAACTTTATAGCTATGAACTGTCTTTTTTATTTTTTCTATTTGATGTATTTGTGTTACGTGTCCGTACACTATATTTACTGCATGAGCTTATAGTACTGTGTACTCTGCTCATCTCAATTATCATAATAATAATAATAACAAAACAAGGAACAATACAGAAACGCAACAAATGATCAACTTTTTGGAAGCATAGCTTATTGTATCAGTCAAAAATATCAAAACAAGTACAGTGGACCTCCGGTAATCCGACAAGCATTATGCAGGGCAGTGTCGGACTATCGAATTTGTCGGATTATAGAGCACTGCCTAAGACCCCCTATAGTCCGGACTTTTTTACAAAAGAGTACCTTGTAATCCGACAAATTACATATCCAATGGTAAGATTACATATGTTATGTATATGTATGTACTTTGAAGTACAAATCATACATAGTTTATGTATGTCGAATTTAGTAAATTAAATAACAATAGAAAGCTTACGTTTTATTTCAAAATTAAGCATAAATGCACATACATATGTACCAAAATAATCAAGAATTATTAATCAAAATCATTAATGAATTTATCAAATTATGAAGCTTGGAAATTTTCATCAATTTTTTTTTGTTTATTTTGTTATAACGCGAGATCGGAGCTTTGTCCCTCAGTCTTCTCAAAAATAAAAGTTCGTTGTAGGATGTACCATTGTAAACCTAGCTCAAAGGCGTTAGTTGCGTCTTGTGCTATGACTTATGGAGCAGTTGCAATCACGTCGTCGTTATTTTCCTGATTGTTTGTTGTATAATTAGAAACCTCTTTTATGATCTCTTCGTCAGTCATTTCATGAAAAACATTTTCCTCTTCATCTATTCCACGGCACCAGATTTCCAAATCTTTCGGACTTATCTGTGTTTCAGTAGCGACTTGTTCTATAACTTCCGAAGTAACAGTGATTTGTGGAACGCTGCGAGGAGTGGTGACTATATCTGGCCATAACTTTTTCCAAGACGATTTAATAGTTGATGACGGTAACGCATTCCACGACTGACAAAGAGCACAAACCAAGTCTATCATATTAAATTCTTTTAAAGTTTTTTCTATTGGTTGGTCTTTTGATACGGCTCTGAGAAGTAGGTTTTTCTTATAGTCTTGCTTGACAAACTGAATGATATTCTGGTCCATTGGAGTGCAGTGCAATTTGGCGGAAGAAACATCGCAGTGATGCATTTATCCTCAGTTGTTAGTTCTTCTTCAGAGGGATGACCGGGAGCGTTATCAAGAAGCAACAACGCTTTTTGAGGAAAATTATGATATTTTAACCATTTTCTAACTTCAGGTACAAAGCATTCATCAAACCACTTTTTGAAAAGGTCGTTTGTCACTTTTTTGTCCGTAATAGTGTACAGGTAAATCAATGTTTTTGAATGCCCGTGGTTTATTAGATTTCCCAATGACCATCATCTTAAGCGCGTGTGTGCCCGCAGCGCTAGCACATGGTAGTATGGTTACACGCTCTTTACTTACTTTTCGTCTACAGTATATTCAGATAAGAGATAGACCGGACATAAACAAGACCACGTGATCATCGAACGCTGTAACATTCGGCAGGGACGTATTAAGAGTCACGCAGTACATATTTTAGATAGTAGATGCTGCTTTGCGTAACTTTGTAGTAAATTAGCACAATTCGATGTGTATACGATTGGTGATGGATATAGGATCATGTGGGGGTGGGGTAAGAAATATATAATGATGTAAATATACATAAGGGTTTCAAAATTTTCGCTTCGATTTCCAGCTTCGGATGCCGTCTGATGTTTGGTGAAATACAGTCGAATATAATCTCAAAATGGCGTTTAAATTAGCCTATAATTATAACAAGGTATAACAATAACAACGACAAACTCAACAACTTAATAAGATAACAAACGAAAACGTCCAAAGAAATATCAAATTGCAATGATGCACACGACATACGTAACACGTCTGAACCTGAATGTGACTCTGCCTTGATACGACTGCTCTGCCGCTCGGCATACGCATTTAATTGCGAATTGACCAATGAGGGCTCCTGTTTTACGTCGAGACGGCGGCGTTAGCGTGAAAATCACCCGAACCTTTTGTTTACATCCGGTCTATCTCTTATCTGAATATACTGTAGGTACGGATTTTTCGTTACAAGAAACGAAAGTTTTGTTAGGCATCACTCGCCAAAAAAGCCCTGATTCGTCTGCATTGTACACCTGTGACGGGTCGAGATTTAAATCATTCACCTTTTGAAAAAATCTTAATTTAAAGGGCTCTATGCAGGTGGCATCGTTAGAAAGTTTCTCTCCTGTAATAGTCACTAAACGTATGCCATGCCGACTTTTAAAACGTTCTAGCCATCCTTTGCTGGCCACAAAATCATCTTTTTTTGTTATTTCCTTATAAAAAACGTAGCTTTCATGGCCAACATGGGTCCTGAAATTGGTGCATGCCTATTTCTTTCCTGAAGAAACCACATGTACAAAAAGCTTCTTCCACTTCTGGATGTTCAGCTTTCTTGAGTGTCTGTCTCTTGCTTGGCCCGCAGTCAGTAGTTGACACGTGGTTTCTTTTTATGTCATAAATTGTAGATCGGCCTACGCCGTATTCACTTGCTAAACTACTGAAAGTTTCATTGCGATCTAAGCGGTCTAAAATATCACATTTTTCTTTAATTGTCAACGTTTTGTGCTTTCGCTTCTGAGTTTGTGATGACATTACTAGGTACTATACTTAATACACAATGAATAAATAGTAAACAAAAACGCACGATAGGCCGTACCGCTATCAGCAGTAGTCAAATTCAAACTAAGTAAAACAATGCTTACGCGTCGAGCACGATAGCGGTGGCGCGTACAAGTTGTAACCTGTTCAAACCTGCAGTGATCTACATTAGCGAAGATTGCCGAATACGTATGTATGTAATACATATTCAAAGACATGTCAGATTACAGGGGGCACCGGATTAGACAGGGGCCGCATTACCGGGGGTCCACTGTAATATCGTTAATAATGGAAATTTGTGATGCCTTAACTGAAAGCCTCAAAGAATATATTAAAGTAGGTTTTGATACTACTTCTGTTTTATATTTGTTTCTCAACAAAGTACACATCGCACCGACAATGTAGCCTGAAATGAATACAAAACAGAAACCTTTTGATCTTTACCGACTCGCGACATGAACGCCAAAAGTTCCAGAAACAGAAACAAAATAGGAATTGTTGACGAAATGTTGCCGATTTGTTGTTTACTTGTTGAAAAACATTGAGTTGCTGTTTTGTCGGTTTGGTGTGGACCCGGCATAAGGAATTGTACCTATCAAAACGACGACTAATAGTCTGATTTTATTGGTGCAGGATGTTCAAGGGGGTATTCAAAACATGGACGGATAAAATGGATTCACCAATTTTCCGGCCATCTCTACTAGTTTTTATTACAGAAATAGAAAGCCAAACAAATTCCCTTGTCAACGGTATGACTATCATTGAGGCCAAAATTACTTTTTATGCGAAAATTACAGGACACCCAATAGCACATCCGATAGTGACCTTCTTTCTGACCTTCAAGGTCAAATAGATTTTTCCCAGAGCGGAAAATTGAGGAAAATCTCATGTTCAAAGGTATAATGAGGTAAAATCACACCTAAATGTTATTTCAAGGTGAAATTACCCATTTTGGATTAGACTTAAGCAACCGATAATCTTTGCAGTGAAAAAAGAGATTTTGTGGCCGCATATCAACATGTGCAAGTCGCATACAACTGTGTATAATTTTATTTAAGTTGGCTTACATTGCTTACGACTAGGTAGCTCACTTTTATTCCAAAATTATCAAAGTAGCTCAACACACTGAATTAGATACTATCTAATTAGATTTTGTATGGCAAAGGCTGACCCCGAAGCTTGCCGCTGCTTAACCTTCAGTACCCAGCTTTAATCATTTAATTAGACTTTAGAATCTTGAAAACTTTTGCGTACAACATTTCGTCTTTACGTTCGTATCGCCAGTCTGAGTATTTGACAGGTCTTTTCAGCAGGGGCGTAACCAGCAGGCAATTTTGTCAAAGGCTTATACGGGGTGACTTCGAAGTTGAGTCATTTATTTTAACAGTGAGTAGATCTGATCAAAAGAAATGTTTTTTTCCTTTACCATTTTTCTGGTAAAATTAAAGTAACAAAGTTATAGCCCTTTGGAAGTTTGAGTACCGCCCTGTCTCAATAATAATATTATGTGCTCGTGTTTGGCGACAACGGATATAATCCGCCTTATCGGTTCATCGCATCGGAAACAGAAAAGCGAAAGAATTTGGAACGATGTTTTTACAATTATTTTATTCAGTTGTATACAGTCAGTGTCAGTCGGTAACGCGTGAGTGAATAGTTGTGTCTGTTGCGTGGCTCAAACGAAATGAAAAATGGCACATGTTTATGCGGATCGGTTTCTCGATCGAGTGCAACCAACCCCTCGTGCCTTTGTTAATGTAGTACAACGGGCTCGTGAATCAGGTGACGGCATGCCGGTGCTCCAAGACCTCACGATCAAATACAGGTCCGCACTGAAATACTTGTCGGGAGGATACTTTATAAAACAAGGTAACATTTTTTTTTATTTTTACACACATATTTTGGTTTATCTTCCTTCTACAATCATTATCTGAAAATTAATGACTCAACTTCAAAGTCTGCTGGCAAAAATTTGTTTAGGGCGTAGAGACCCAAATAAGACTGAGCCTCAAGAACTGCTTACAAGTTTGGGTCGCTGTCACTCGACTACACTGTTCATACTCGACGTTGGATGCCTCAGGCAAAAACCCAAAAAATGAAGTACTGGAAGTGGATGAAATCCATCATGTATTTGAAAGTTGATACTAGGAATAATTAATTGGACATGAAAACAAAATCTTTTTACGATTAGATTCGCTTTAACAGATCGTCATCCTAATCTTGACCGCTCCTTTTTTTTCCAAGGTATGGAGATTGTGGAGTATTCTGTCTGAGGCGACTTTTCCCAGTTATGGCAGTTCAGATGTTTGGGTTCTTATACTAGAGATTGCATGGGTATAAGAATAAGCTGATAATGCACGAAATTATGTGCTACAAAAAAAACACATATTCGAAATCTGTCACAGAGACTTACTTAAAAAATCGTAGAACATATAGTTTATCCTGATCAGAGCATACACACTACCGTTTAAAAGAATTTAAATACCTGCATATTTCAGTTTAAAATCATAACAAAAAAAAATATTAAGTACGTGTATATTTTTATTTATTTATTGAAAACCATCACCATGGAAATCAAGCATCACTGAAGAGTCATTGAAATCAAAATTTTGCTCACACTATTGGGATCTCATCATTAGCCATAATAGGATTTTTGTGCCTTTAGAGTATTGTTATGTTTTTGTATAGGAATTCTTTCTGCCGATTTGTTTTTCGATTATTTCTTTTAATTTGTATTCTACGTAAGCCCTTAACACAGTTTTACTTCAGTTATCTTGTCTCATGCTTCAATATCTTATATACTAAGTGACATATAAATCCGAACACCCAGTTTAAAAGGTTTTATTTTAATAAAATTTTGTATAAGTACTTAATGAAGCATAATAAGTAAATGATAAAAATTTCAAAATGATTGCACTGCTTTAAAGCCCTTTGACCTTTAATAATGTGTGGATGCACCCTGATGTGCTACGCATTCTCCAACGCGTCTAGGCATGCTTCTGATCAGGTGGTCAATGTCCTCCTGTGGTATCTCATTCCAGGCAACCACCAACTCCTCTCGAAGTGCTTCTAGAGTCTGAGGAGGACGTTGCAAATTGAGCAATCTCCTACCCATCATATCCCACACGTGCTCAATTGGGGATAAGTCGGGAGATCTTGGTGGCCATGGTAACAATGTGACATCATTATGTTGAAAGAAGTCTATTGTGACTCTTGCAACATGTGGTCGGGCATTATCTTGTTGGAAAGTTGGATCTGCCACGGTGTCAAGATAGGGTAAAAGATGGGGTTCGAGAACTTCGTGGATATAACGCTGCGCGTTCATGTTACCTCTGATGAAGATTAGAGGTGACCTGGAACCATCAGCTATAGCACCCCAAACCATAACTCCAACAGTGTGATGAACATGTCTTTCAACAAAAAACTGTGGATTCCTCGTTTCACCACGTCGCCTTCTAACCCTGGCACGACCATCGAGCATGCCTAAACAAAATCGAGACTCGTCACTAAAGACAATACTGTTCCATTCCTGATCCCAGAGTGACCGTTGTCTGCACCACTCAAGGTGTTCTCCAGTTAAAGGGAGGACCCAGTGTGGCCGGTATGAAAACAAGTAAAAACTTATCATTCGTCGGTAAACACTTCGCATGCCAATGCCGACTGAAATATTCATTTTTAGAGCGTTAGTGAATTAAAAAAAAGCAGTATAAAAACCGGAATGTCCAACTGATAAGGCTGAAAAATTTTTCACTTGTTATTTACAGTAAGATAAATACATTCACCAAAATTTATTCAAATAAAACCATTTAAACTGGGTAGTTCAAGATTGTTCAACAAGTGCGTTTTTGCTTATTTTTTCTGGACAAAATCGGTAAAACTAAAGAAGAGCAGATAAAAGGTGTTATTGGTCTTCATAAATCCGACAGAAGAATTCGAGAAATTTCTAAGCTCTCTAAATTTAAGGCTCAAGGCACCATATCCAATGCCGTCGTTCAGGGAGACCCAGAGTTACAACTTCCACTGAAAACTTGAGCATAATAGTGAAAAGTAAACTCATGACTGCACCCGAAATAGCAGCGGACTTGAATGTGGGAAGTAGTAAACCTGTAAGTGTGACTACAGTTAATAGAACATAACTCGAAGTTGGACTTAAGTGATGCATAGCAGTACCAAAACCACTCCTCAGGGCTACGAACAGAAAAAAAAGACTGAGTTAAGCCAAAAAACATCAAAATTGGCCAGTTGTTGACTGGAAGAAAGTCCTCTGGAGCAATGAACCGAAATTTGGTACCAAGAGAAGAGTATTTGTCCGCCGTCACTACAACGCTCATCTAAAAAAAAAGCTCTTGGAAAATAGACTTACCACGTCGATGATATGATGCAGAGACACTCCAAAGATGACGCTGAGCGGTAACGAGGAGTTTTGAGCAGGTCTAACGGCCGCATCGTAGTCCGTCATAAGATGTCGCATGAGCCTTGCTTCATTTTCGTCTGCTTTGCAGTAACAGACCCAAGCTGGAACAAAATTAACACGATAATTTCTGTGTACGGAATGGTAATGTTAACGTGGGCGTAGTTATTAGGCATACATCTCAAATATGTCAATTAAGACATTTCTCGATAGCTATAGTCTTAAAGTAAAATGAAGGAGGAAGAAAGTAATGGTAAAGAAAATGTCGGAGGCGATTGCTTATAAACTCACTTCCAAAATTAGTATGGATAGGGGGAGGAGTCCCTCCACTGCGCAAGGAAGTCCGCTGTTTTACAAAGGCAATGGAAAATATTATGCTCTGATTTGAATCTAAATTCATCATTTCGGACATTAAAGTACATGTATAGAATTAATTAACTGAACTAAAAATAAATAAAATAAATAGTGTATCATTATGAGCATGAGGGTGAGGCTTAAGGTTTAACTCAAGGTGAATATTGAAAATACTAAAAGTTTGACCTGGAATTTTTCATCAATAGTCATGCAAAGCATTCAGGAATTTTTCCTAGCGTCACTCGTTTGATTTGGCCTTTAGCAGTGACCTTGATCAAAAATTTTAATACATATTCAGACGTAGAATTATCCGTTCTTTTGAATGTCGCTATCAAAAAGGAAACTTTCATTGTGAATACAAAATTCAACTTTAAAATGACCTTACAGACGAGACTCAAGGTCGAATCTAAGGTCAGTATTGAACCTCTTGTTCAAATAAATAAATAATAATAATAATAATAATAATAATAATAATAATAATAATAATAATATTTATTTACTCTAAAATACAGGGAACATGAAACGAGTAAATAAATATAATATATCCATAGGAGGACAACGCCTGTGCATGGATCATATGTACGTTGAATTGCAAAATATAACAAAATAGAGAGAAAAAAGAAATTATTGGTAAGAATGGTAGAGCATTTATTGTGTAATATTTGAGATTATTTTATTAATTTGATTTCTCCCAATCGTGTTAATAAATTTTTTTAATTTTTTTTGAAGCCTAATGTATTGCGTAATTGTTTTAAATTTTTTGGTAAATGTTCGTACAATTTTGGAGCTATATATAGGTGACATCGTTTCATTAGGGATTTGTTTGGTTTAGGAACATTTTTTGCGCGTAATTTATATCTGGTTTTATGATTATGTTTAATTATGTCGTGTTCACTAATAGTTTTGTGATAATGAGTGATGGTATGTAAGAAGTAAAGTTGTTTAGTATCATATACTTGTGCATCATTATATAAGTCATTAGTTGGGTATAATTTTGATTTGCCTAACATTGATTTTAAAATTCTTCTTTGAAGTACATCTAAATCGTTAAAGTATGTCGTGCATGCAGCACCCCACACTACTATACCATATGTTATGTATGGCTCGACTAAAGCTTGATATATTATTCGTAGATAATATTCAGTTAATATACCGGTTAGAAATTTTATTTTATATGCTATGAATCTAATTTTATTTAGTATATGAGAAATATGTACATCCCATCTCAAATGGGGATCTAGATAAATTCCTAAATATTTTGTATCATTAACTCTATTGATTTTTATATTTTTATCATTTACCTTAAACCGAAGGTGGTTATATTTTGGTAGATGATTAGATAGTGATGAAAATGGTAAAAAATGAGTTTTAGTAAAGTTAATTGTTAATTTTCGGTTATTAAACCACTGAATAATTTTGCAAAAGTCATTTTGGATAATATCTTTTAAGTCGTTCCAATCCTTACCTTTATAGAGTATAGCAGTATCGTCTGCAAAACTGACTATTTTACCAGTACTGTTAATTTTGAATATATCGTTTAAATAAATATTGAATAACAGAGGACCCAAAATTGTACCTTGTGGAACACCACATTTAACAAACATTTCTTTACTATACGAGCTTAATAATTTTACTGATTGCGGTCTATTTGATAAATAATTTTCCATTAAAGTATACATCTTTCCACGAAAACCTGTTCTTTCTAAGATTTCCAAAAGTATATTGTGGTTAACTGTGTCAAACGCTTTTTGTAAGTCCACAAATACGCATATCGATGGTACTTTTCCATCTATATTTTGGGTTATTTCATCTACTATACTTAATACCCCATCTGTTGTAGATTTGCCCGCTATAAAACCATATTGATTTGAATTTAGAATTTTGAATTTATTAAGAAAATTAATCATTTTATTAAGGAGTAATTTCTCAAAAACTTTAGCTAAACTTGATATAAGTGAAATAGGTCGATAGTTAGTGACGTCCGTATTATCATTAGATTTATAGATAGGTATGATGATTGCTGTCTTGAAAGCTGATGGAAATACTCCAGATTGGAAGGATTTGTTAATGATATAAGCAAGTGGTTCTGTTATTTGTTTGGCCAGTATCTTTAGATGTTCAGCTCTAATTTCGTCAACTCCAGGGCTTTTTTTATTTTTTAGAGTCATAATGGCATTGAAAACATCCTGATAGTCTACTTCAGTTAATACAAATGAATTATTCAGTCTTGTTTCATGCAGATGAATATCAGCATTTTGTTTGATATTATTTGCTAAGTTTCCTCCTATATTCGTGAAAAATTCTATGAACTCATCACATATTTGCTGAATATTGTCTGTTTTCTGTCCTGTTTTTGTTTTTATTTCATTAATATTGTTTTTTGAATAGGATGACTTATTGAATATATCATTGACAGTGGACCATAGGTGTCTAGAGTCATGTGAATTATTATTCAATTGTTTTATATAGTAATTTTTTTTTGCTTTTCTCAAAAGTTCTATAAATTTGTTTTTATATTGATTATAATGATCTATATTTTCTTTCGTGGGTAAATATTTCATGATTTTATACAGTCTTTCTTTTTCGTTTGCAGATTTTATTAGTCCTTTGGTCATCCAATCATTTCTGCTTTTTTCCTTGTGACTTAGTTTAACCTTATTAGTACTAACTTCAATTACTTTTTGAATTTTGTGTATTTAAATTTGTAGCTTCGTCTAAAGAATTTGTTAAAAAAATTTCGTCCCACGATTCCGTTTGTGCGTTAAATATTAATTTTGAGTTGTCAGTGAAATATTTGTATTCAAGGTTTCTTTCATTTTTTGCCCTTGGGCAGTTCTGGTTTTTATTTTGTGAAGATATCAGTAATACAGTGGAATAATGATCTGTAATATCGGTTTCATAGATAATAGGCATGTAAGAAAAAATATTGGAAATATCCTTCATAAAGCAGTGATCAATGCAGGTTTTACTGGTGGGTCGTGTTACTTTATTTATGTATGATAAAAAACCATTACTTGATAAAATGTTTAAATATTCTTTCACCATAGAATTTTCCTCTAAAATGTTTATATTGATGTCGCCTATAAATATTTGATTATGAAGGTGATTGTTTTCATTGTTTTTTGATAGTTCATCTATGTCTCTTATAAATGTATGAGGATCTGAAGATGGTGGTCGGTAAACACAAGTAATTTTGACTCAAATATCTGACACTTTTCATCAACACAGATATCCTGGGCGAACTGTATTTATTGTTATAGCCGTTTAGTTATTTGTTGCTCTTTTGGCGTGTCTCAGCGTCTATTCTTTGATCAGTGGTTTCCGATAAATTCGTGGTGTACGATCTAAAGAAGTAATAAAACTATTCATCTATCTAATGACGCTGTTATGAGTTTGCGAACTTGGTCGACTGTGTAGTAACTTCCCTAGCTCATTGACAAGCAAAAAACAGAACCTTCCAGGGATAGCGTTCCTCTTATACCGTCCTTGCGAGTCGAGAGGATTTGTGGGGACTAAGCGGAAGCGAATAATTGTTTTTTAATGGCAGGGCACTTAAAGGGAACGCTGAAGAGGTCTGCAATGTGCACCTACTTCATTATACAGAGTGTCCTTGAACTTGGATATTTCCCTTAGACAGCATGTCGCAGTAAGGACATTTTTGTAGTAATACATCAACCAAAGCCTTATGAAAGCTGAGATGATTCTGAAAAAATCAGCATGAGGAGGTCAAATTTGGACCAGCTGTTTACTTACAAATCATAATAAACATCCTTTTATTTGGGCCAAGCTTAGCTTTAGCTTTTCCTATATATATATATATATATATATAGGTGAAAAATAAAGCTTCCGCCTTTAGTTGGGTACTTCGACAAAATTCAAGCAATGAGGACTCTTTATACTGTCTCTAGCTTTCAATGGACTTTGGCATCTTCATCAGGAGCTGCAATAACATTGAGAAAAAAGAAAATAAGAAAATGTTATTGCAGCTCCTGATGAAGATGGCAAAGTCCATTGAAAGCTAGATACTAATAAAGTATAAAGAGTCCTCATTGCTTGAATTTTGTCGAAGTACCCAACTAAAGGCGGAAGCTTTATTTTTCACCTATCTGGTCTAGACGACAATGACCACCTTAAAGGAAGGATTACATCACACAAAAGTGATGCTAGGCTTCATCCTGAAAGATGCGCTCTAGCATCTCATGTTAACACAACAGGGCATTCTATGAATTACACAAGTATCAAAGTTCTTGATAAAGAAAAACACCTTTCCAAACGTTTATTCCTGGAAATGTCCCACATCTTCATGAATAACAACTGTATCAACAAAAAGACAGATGTTAAACAACTGAGTGTCATTTACTCATATTTGCTAAACTGCGAAAAATTGGAGAACTTACATATCTCCCCAAATTTCGACTCTTCACAACCATAATTAGAATCTGTGTTTTGGCCGATTCCACCAGTAAATTTCATTCCACTCAAAATATAATAATTCTCTTCTCACGATTTATTAATAATTGTTAATTTAAATTCCCATTAATTAAAATATAGTTTATTCAACTGCCTCGGGTCGGTTTAACAAATTCTTACATAAAATTCTGAAAATCACATCATCTGAAGTGATTTGGCAACGTTTGGCACACGCCCACAATTCGTTCCATCTTTCAACACAGACATTGACATCCTTCGGCCTTCTGTCAAAAGGGTATCATCTCACTCATTATTCCATGACCACTAATTTGTGCAATCA